AGGTAATAGTCATCGTCGTGTCATTAACACTTGGTTTGATATTATTAACCGTACTAACTCTGGTGTAAAAGTTATGCGTGAACGTAATGCTTATAACTTCCCTCTAGACCCAGCGGCTGTTTGCACATTATTTTTGTAAAGACAACAATTTGGAAAGCCCCTTTCAGTTCACTGCTTTAGGTATTAACATCATGGCTTTCCTCTAAAAGGTTTTAAGTTTAAATTAATATTCAGCTAATAGTCAAGATCATATAAGCAACACTTGGGCTGATATTACTAACTGTATTAACCTTGGTATGGAAGTTATACATGAATGTAATGCTTATAACTGCGCTCTAGACCAAGCGGCCATTTGGATATTACTTCTGTAAGGACGAAGAATTTAGCAAGCCCCTTCTAGAGCCAACCAAAAGTAGAGAGAAGCTACCAGTCAACCATAGGTCTACTATTAGGTTCACACTTTTAATGGTTGCATGCTCCGAGCGTCAAAACTTGTGCACAGAATCTAAGAGCGAATTTCACAAAAACTTTTGCCGTGTTTCTGCCTTGAAAAAAGCAAAACTTGGCCAAACACCTAAACAAAATTGCTTTTATCAGAAAAAGACACTAAATATTAGTTTTGAGAACGTGTTTATCAAAATGTAAAGGTAACTTAGAATTAGAGGTTTCCAAGAGAGAATTTCTGTTTTCAGTCATCAAAAAAGATATAGTTTCTGCTTAAGCAGGTGAAATTTTATTTTTAACAAATATTTACGTTTTCCTTTTTTTCAAATATTCATATATTTTAATCTTCTTTCACAGGTGTAATACTAATTTAACATCAGTAATTTACTCGTTATCATAAATTAGTCAAATATATTAAAATTAAAAAATAAGTCAAAAAAGTAAAAACTCAGAATTAATATCTATATTAGATAACATAAACATGAAAAAGAAAACTACTTAAAAGTTTCCAGAGTATTCGTAATAGTAATTTTTATCGCTGTACCAATTTTTGGTATCAGTTAAAGGTGATGATTGACAAAACATGATAAGATTCTCAGCTTATACCAACACAACTTTACATAATATGTTTCTATTCAATACTATTAGGTCTCACCAAAGTACTTGTACTAGAATTATTCTCACGATAAGAACTTTGCAGAGGATAGCAATATGTTAGTATAAGGTATGATATCAGAAATAGCAACTACACCAAAGAGACAATATCAGCTTTGTAGAGAAAACAATATGTTCGACTGCTCTTCAAATAAGTTATCGATTTTGTCCTATGAAATTGTGCCTAACAACCTTGTGATGTAGTTGTTGTCAATTCCTATGAATGTGCATTGGATCTATTTTTTCTTTACTTTAACATGTGTATCTTTCTAGACCCTGTCCAATTCTGCTATATCAAACTGTCTATGTATAAATAAAAAATTGAGCTTTTTACTCTTACTTTGAGCTTTTCCTATTAGCTTAAAATTTTGGAATAATTAATCGCAACTCACGTGATATCAGAGTGACAGATGTAAACTTTGAATTTTGAGTACCTTTTCATTTTTTGTTCATTAAAATCGGAAAAAAGGTAAAAAAGGTGCGTGCTTGATCTATGCTTTTAGTCTAATGGACTTGTGCCTAGAATGACGTGTTAGTACTAACTAATAGCGAGTCATTTTCTATTAGTATAAGCTTTTGGTGTATGTGGCTATTTCATGGTAAAGTGTGCTGATTTCTCTTATGAAATTGAGTGCCTAACAACCTTGTGATAGTGGTTGTCACCAATAACTATGGATGTGGTTGGATTCGTGCTGATTTCTCTTATGAAATTGAGTGCCTAACAACCTTGTGATAGTGGTTGTCACCAATAACTATGGATGTGGTTGGATTCATCTTTTCTTTACCATAACATGTCCATCTTTCTAGATCTCAATCTGTTGTGTTGCATCAAACTGTTAATGTATAAGAATAGATTGAACTCTTTAATACTGAAGCTTTTTCCATTAACTTAAGCCTTCGGAATAATTATTCACAATTCACATGGTATTGGAGTTACGTGTGTAGAGTTTGATTTTTTACTGTCATTTTATTTCTGTTAATTAGATTTCAGCAAAACGTACAAGGGTCAATGTTTGATCTATGCGTTTAGCTTAATGGACATATGCCTAAGAGGGCATGTTAAACTTAAATAATAAGATGGATCATTTCCTATCAGTCTAAACTTATACTTAAGAGAACATGTTAAAATTAAATAACAGTGGGTCATTTCTCATCAATTTAAACTTTTGAGATAAGTGGTTAAGTTAATTAGTTCACAGCCAAATCTCCAGCATGAAAATTTATGAACACACAGAAGATGAAAATTATATAGTTATATCAAAGTATATACATGGAAGGAAGAGAGAAGTATATTCAAGCATTGATATTTGTTACCTGCATCCTTTCTGAACCAGGTCCTGTTCTTTGTGGCCTGAGTATTCTGTCAGATGCATTATTCTCATACTTTTGGTTGATGGCAGAATACCTGTTTTAGCAAAAACGCAATGGATAATTCCTTAACAACAGTATTACAACATTCCACTCACCGAAATCTGCAAGGAAAAGAAGAAAAAGGAATTCATACTTTTTCATAACAATACAACGACCAAACCCACGATCTAGGGAAGATTTGTTCATAACTATAGCATCCTCTATGTCATAACCACTATAGCTCATCACAGCAACAGTTGCATTCTGACCAGCTCCAAGCTTGTCATATCCAACCTGCATAAATGGCATTAATCCACTGTCTATTCTGGCAAAGTATAATTTGTAAAGTGCACACTAACCAGTTCAATTGTCCTTGTAGTCAACAAAGGCCTCTGAGGATAGACCAATAGGTAAAGCAGTGTGTCCATTCGACCCAACTACAGAATGAAGAGATTAGCAAGCAAAATCATAGAGAGAAGAATAGTTATTTACACATAAGAAATGGTCCTCGTGAAGAAAGAAAGCGACCATTTTGGTCTAACATCAACACAGATTACCATTATTGGAAATCTGCATGACAAATATGAAAATGATATTGAAGTGATAGCCAACAGGACAGCTAACAGATCATGTATGGTGCTTCATAATTGATAGGGATGGCAAGGCAGATGAACCCCAAAAACAATGAAATAGAAAATTCAGCAATTCCAGATATAAAATTGACAACTTAATCTTTAGGTTTTTCTCTTTCCTCCAATTCTGCAAGAACCTTGGTAATACTAAAGACATGGACAAAATTACACAGATTATACGAGGAACAATTCATTCTCAGCTACTTGGTAGCAAAATACTATATATCGAGAGCTTTTTCCATTATGTAACCTTGTCATTTAGCTATATATCAAAATGATCAATGTGTTACAATCTAGATACAATAGATTCTAGCTCCAATCTAGCTCAACCAACCAAAGAATAGATACTGAATCACAGAATGGAACCACTTGCCTGGTTGTATGCAATATTTCCCATTGCTTGTTTTCCCATAGCACACTGTAGATATTACACATCCGAAAAGAATTAGACAATAAAAGAATATTTTAGTTCACTGACATGACACAGAAGTAGAACAATTATGTAGAAACCTGATAAGTATTTCTTGGTGACTGGATTGTGATGAAGGGTAGGATCAACCCAGCAACACACCTAAGATGGTGAAA